GACCCGCTCGCCGCCTCGGTCGCCGCCACTCGCCTCTCAGGGATCAACCGCCGCCTCATCCCGTCCCCGCTCTTGTTTATGCTCCGGAGCCGGGGTGCCCTGCGCGCCTGCGCGGTCCCGCCCCCGAGGTGCACGGCCTCTCATGGCGCAGGCGCACAACGGAGGTTCCACCTCCTTCACCTCCAGCCGGACTGGGGTTCCGGTTGAACACGCACGCGTGGGGGCGCGCTGGGTATAGTCGCGGGTGCGTCCGAGCCCGCGCATGCGCTTAGGGAAGAGTGGGCAGGGTCTGCTCTGCGTAGACACCCCCGCCACCGTCCCATTAATTCAGAAGGCGTTCTATCAATACGTGCCAGTGATTGTCCTGAAAATGAACGTGCGTCGTCTTAGTTGATGCTCATGGTAACCTTATGCAGAGAAGTTACATCCCCATTTAAAGGATTTGAAAATCGCGGCTCAGAAATATTCATCTGTTAGCCGACTATTAGATCTGACTGGGGAAATGCCCCTGTTTCTCTGAGGTCCACACTTTCTTGGATACCTGAAAGAGAATTCCACCTTAAATTTCTTTATTCATTTAGCAATATTCAAAAGCACTTTCCATGTGAATTAAATAGCCATCCTCCTTTCCCTCAGAGAAGTTACAGTAGTGGTGGTGTTGGGATATTTAAACACAATTGAAAACCAAGAGTACACCAAGTACACATATTAAGGTCACCTAATGTAGACAAGGGACAGGGACTGTGCAGTCAGAGAAGGCTTCCTGGAGGAGATGAGACCTGAAGTTTTAGTAATAGGTACTCAGCCTGAGGGGATGGAAATACTGTTTGGCAAAGATCTGTTGGTAAGGTCTGACCTGTTAAGGAACTCTATACTCATTATAGGAAAGTAGATACAGGATTTGGCTGGAAAAACAGGAGGTGGCCAGATGAAGCTGGTGTTGTTAAGATACATTAAGCAAGAAACTGATCATCATCCCAAGAGTAATGGGGCTGTCATTGAAAATAGGCAGGAAAATGGCACAATTCAACTTGTATTTAGGGAAGTTCATTCTAGTCACACAGTCAAGAATGTATTAAAAATCATTGAGGAAAAGAAGCTTTTTTTTTTCAGTAAAATGATTAAATTCTCCTACCTCATATCATACTCAGATTAATTTGAGATGAACTGTAGTCCTAAATGTGAAGGGTAAAAAGGATGAAGTTTCTAGAAGGAAACACAACATGCCTTCATGATTTGGGGTAAGCAAAGTCATATTTTTTTGGAGAGGGTTTTGGTATGGGGTGCATGCGCTCGCCAGAAAGACAGAGAGAGGCAGAGAGACAGAAAGCGAGAAATCACACCCTGGGGGGATGGCCACGCTGCAATCCCTTCTCTATTCTCCTCTCAGGATCTTGGGCACACACGCGCCAGGCGTGAGTCTAAGCCGCCAGTCCAGAACTCGAACTGCCTGTTGACTACATGGGAGTTCAGTGACATAGCCATTACACTAACTGCTGGTCCCAACAAAGTCATTTTTTAAAATAATTATTTTATGTATTAATTTATTATTAAAATTTGTGTTTGCCAGAGCAAGTGAGAAAGCAACAGGGCCAAGAACTTGAACCATAGTCAGTCTTGTGGGAGTTCAGCACCCCAACCATCATGACACCTGCTGGCCCAGCAAAGTCATTGGAAACAACTATTTTAAAAAGTACTAACTGATTGCAGCTGACTACTAGTGCTTTCAAGGAATAAGAGAAATGAAAATTGTCTACTCATAATTCAGCCTCCCAGTCTCGAGTGATAGGGTGCCCCTGTATCCTTCTCTTTGTCTCTCTCTGTCTTCTCATTTTTTTGGTAATTTTTCTCCTTAAAAATTTTTAACATATTCTCTTGGCTTTCAGATCCTCATTTATCTTGCTAATAATTCCCTTTTCCTCCCTCTCATTTAGAAGAGGCAAGGGTCAGGCCTTCAGAAGAAGACTCCTCCATTGCAGCTGACTACTAGTGTTTTTACATGGCATACAAACACACCACATGGTTTTCATTTTTTGCTTTTAAAAAATAAATAAATTTTGTTATTTTTTTCTTTTTTTCTCTCTCTCTGTTTTCTTTTCCTTTTTCTTTTACCTCATCACTTTGCTGCTCGGTCTCCATGCACTGAGTGTCTAGACAGATCTAAGAGAGCCATAGCCAAACATCCAAATACTATTAGGGTCAACATATTCCTCAATACCCACTGAATCTGCTACACAAAGGGATAACAACGGAATGGCATAGAGATTGTAGATCACTTCCTCCTGTATGCCCCTTAACACTCCAATTGAACTTCTAGAAATTAGGAAGAACTGGGGACTGGCAGGTGTCATGGTGGTTAGGGTGTTGGACACTCCTGCATGGTCAACCACAGTTCGAGTCCTAGACCTGGTAGCTTGCTTTCTCACTTTCTCTCTCTCTCTCTCTCTGTATGTGTGTGTGTGTGTGTGTGTGTGTGTGTTTCTCTCTGGTCAAATTAAAATAAGTGAATGACTAAACAAAATAAAATTAAAAAATAAGTCTTAAAAAATAAGTCTTAAAAATATTAGGAAGAACTGTGTAACTCATTAGATGACTAGAAATCACTGCAAAGATATATGAGAAACCAAGATAATATCTCTCCCCCAGGGGAAGAATAACTCCTCTTCATCCACAGACAGTACAATGGAACTTGAGGAAATATTTGAAAAAGAATTTAGAATGTTCATAGTGACAACGCTAACAGAGATGTGAGAGACAATAAACTCCAGAAGAGGCAGGAGAGAAGAGTAGCTGAGTTCCAGGAGGTGAGGAAGTTCTTACACGATTTGAAAGAGGAAATACACACCATAAAAAAAGAATTGAATGGAACTGTTAGAGATGAAGGCTGTAATACAGGAAATCAAAACCTCCCTTGAAAGTATTAAAAGCAGACTAGATCATGCAGACGATCAAATGTCAAATTTAGAAGACAGAATCACCGGCCTAGAAAAATCCACCACAAAGACTGAGAAAATAGCCCAATAAAATGAGAATAATATATGAGAAATACTAAATACCATTAAAGATCCAAACATCTGGATAATCAGCATCCCAGAAGGTGAAGAGACTCATAAGGGTATTGATAATATATTCCATGAAATTCTGCAAGAAAACTTTCCAAACCTAGAGAGGCATTCAAAGATCCAGACCCAAGAAATACAAAGGACCCAAGAAATACAAATAAAATCAACCCAAGAAGATCTTCTCCAAGACACATTATAGCCAGATTGCCCAAAACCACAGACAAAGTACAAGATACCCAGACCGGCAAGAAAGAAACAACAAGTTACCTTCAAAGGATATTCCAGACTAATAGCGGACTTCTCATTGGAAACAGTGCGAGCAAGGAAGGAACGTGAAAATATATTCAAAGCGTTGAGGGAAAAACAATTTCAACCAAAAATGCTATACCCAACAAGATTACCCTTCATAAAGGAAGAGAAACAACATTTTCAGATAAACAAAACCTGAAAGAATTTACTGACAGCAGACCAGTTCTCCAAGAAATTCTGAAGAGAGAGCTATATCAGGAAAACTAAAGTCAGACATATAGTAATAAGAATTAAAAAACACATGGGACCAGCAGTTAGTGTAATGGCTATATCACTGGACTCCCATGTAGTCGATCATTGTTTGAGTCCTGGACCCAGTGGCTTAAAACTCATGCCAGGCGTGTGTACGTGCGTGCCCAAGATCCTGAGAGGAGAATGGAGGAGAAGGGATTGCGGCGTGGCTATCCCCCCTGGGGGGTGGGGTGGGGGTGGGAGTGGTGATTTCTCCCTTTCTATCTCTCTGTCTCTCTGGCAAGCGCACATGCCCTATAGCAAAAACCTCTCCCCCCCAAAAAAATTAAAAAACATATAAGAAAAGGGCCAGCTTAATGGTAGGGACAAGTCCAAAATTGAATATTATCTTCCAGAATTTAAACAGAAAGCTCAGACCACAACAAAAGTTAGATTAAGTACATGAGACTGAGCTGGTGAAATAGAATTTTATGACTTTTAACTAAAACAATACTGATCTTTTTCTATGCTTTATATTCCGGAGATAAGGATTTTTGTCTTCTCTTGAATTGTTGACAGATTCACATACCTACTATTTGAACAGAATCCTAAACTGTTTCCTGGCTTTAAGTCTTAAGCAAAGTTCTCTTAACATTTTTTTATTTTGATTTATTAAAGCTAAAACTGTCTTTCTTGAAATTAAAAAAAATATATTAAAAAATACCTATTTAGTGACCACAGTAAGCTATATAGCCTCAACTAGGTGCTATTTTATAGTATATTCATTCTATTCACAGTTTCGTGCCTAAAGTCCAATTTTTGTTTACAGATATTTATATATCAGCTGAACTTGCTATTGAAAGTAGCTAGATCAATTAAGATATTTTGTTAACCAATAAAACGTGTGGGGAGAAAAAAGAAATGGAAAGCAACTGCAGATACCAGAGACAGTGTAGGAGGAGGGTGGGAAATGGGAAATTATTTGTTAACGGTGTCATGTATGACTAAGCCACTATACAGTGTATTCTGGATGGGAAACTGCATTTCGTATGCTGTGATGATGTTCAGTGAATGAATGTAAGATAAATAAATTAATGTTAAAAAGCCATAAAAAAGTACTAACCACAAAATAAAAGATTGGTCTTCACCAAAGTTAAGAATATCTGTTCATCCAAAGATTGAGAAGTTGAAAAGGTAAGATTCAAAGTGGGATATGTATATTTTCAATGCATTATCATTTCAATGCATATTTTTTTACAAAGGACTTATATTCAGAATATTTAAGCAACTTCTACAAAGCAATTAGAAAAATATAGACTATTTTTTTTTAATAGGCAAGATGCTTGATTTAATAGGCAAGATGCTTGAACACAGGCACTTTACAAAAGAGGAAATCAGGATGGTTAATGAGTACCTTAAAAGGTGGTCATCATTAATACTCATCAAGAAAATGCAAATGAAGAGCAAATGAGACATTACTAAAAATCCACCGAATTGGCTAAAATTAAAACAACTTATAATAACAAGTGTGGAAAACAATGTGGAGAAATTGGAGCTCTCATATGCTGTGGATAGAAGTGTAAATTGT